AAATGAGGATTAGCCTCCTGGTTTGAATCCATCAACAATAAATGGCTTTCTTGAAATGTTGTGGCTCCTGCATGTCAAATAGGCCCTCAACTGCTCCCTACAGAAGTGCTTGGTTGAAGTTACAGCCAAACGCCTCTCCCCCTGCCCCGCTGAATGAAGGGTCTAAGCTCTTCACAGTAGAAAGGCACTTAGGGGTGCTTGCTTCCATCCTATCCCCACTTTACAGTGGGCACCATTGCAACAAATTTCCTTCTGGTACTCACTGTCTCTTCCTGTGCATACACAGGCTGTCTTTGGTACAGGTTGAACCTCTCTAGTTCAGCACTTTCTGGTCTAGCAATATCCATAGTCCAAGATGATTTTAGTTAGCCATATCAAGGGTGTTGCCAAGTTTCCTGCAGTCCCATAAAGTTCGTTTACAACCATCAGTCCTGGGTCTCCGTGTCATGTGCTATTTACCTCTAATTTACCCTTAAATGTCTCCTAAGAGCCTAATAAGCAGTGGAAGTGTTGGTAATGCTACTGCACGATATTGACCTCTTGTGTCTGGCAAATTCTCTGGTTTGGCACCAAGCAGGTCCCAAGAGTGACAGACTAGAGAGGTTCAACCTGTAATAGATTCAGCAAAGTCCTCGAAAGCACATGCTCTACCTTCAGCATGGCATAAGTATGCCCATGAAGTTACATGTTTGTGTTTTGCTGAACTGGGGCCTGCAGTTCTGATGCAGAGCTCATGGGAAGACTATAGGACTCATTCCACTGATTTCTGGGGGCTTTGGATCAGGCTTTCATTACAGAAATGTCCCGGCTTAGTTGTCAGCCATCGGATAAGGCATTTTAGCAGCATCAGTTTCACGTGTGTATCTGTGCTGTTGAATAGCCCCTTTGATGCATTTTTCCTCGTCTTCACAGCTAAAGACTGTTGAACAGACAGATCTAGCCTAATCCATGCCAATGAGCAAGACTTGGCTAACACAATGCCTTGAAAAGAAGAGTGGTTTCAATTAATTGTGTTGGTTTGTGCTGTGCTGGGCATGGGGTTTTAAGGGCCAGAAAGCAGCATGCAAAGACCTGCCCATTCCCTCCCTCCACAGATGCAGCCAGTTAAAAATCTCTACAGCAAATGGCAACTGAAGTGTCTTGAGCACACGTGTGTCAGGCACGGAGGTGATGCATGGATATGTTTTTGTCAGAATAGAAGGTATTTTTATACCTCAGTGGTAGGTATTGCCCAACTTTAAAAGCAAATCCATTATGGCAAGGATCCCATCTGCCATAGGTTATCAACCAGAGTCCCTTGTCTGAACATTTGGGAGCTTGTCTAATGTAACAATTTGTACCATAGAAGGTCGAGGCATACACATTGACTACTATTCTTCTTAGTGTGCTAGTTGTTAGCTTTAGTGGAACGGGATTTGATTAAGCACTTAGTCTAGTCTTCTGAACACAGAAATCCTGTTGTACTAAAAGCTAGTGGGACATGTTGATCACTTTTTGTTAAGGCTCATGTACTGTACTTAACAAGTTTCTATGAGATTGATGAACTTTGTTAAAAATTTTAAAAGGGACAAGTTCTGTAAAGAGCCACTAAATGCAGAAGTTGTATAATAACTTTGGTGCTTTGGTCTGTTTTGTTCTGCGTGGTTTCCTAATTAAGCCCTTTCCTCCTTCCATTCATCTCCCTGCTTTCTGAACCTCCAAGGAGTTAGGTCTTGATGACACCGAATACACCATTGATACATGATGTGTCATGTCTTGGGCCCAGCATCCTTCCCCCCCTCCCCCCCCCCATTGCAGCCAGTGAGAGCTTTGCCTTTCCATTCAGGAGCATTGGGGCATGTCTGTTTAACCTGCCCTATCCTTTGTAACTATCGCCTGCTTCTCCACATGCCCAGGTGAGTCTGAGCAGGAAGCTGCACTGTCATCCTGTGGCTAGGGCACTGGCCCTCCCCCTTCCAATAGGGGGAAATACTGGCTCTAGTGAAATGAATGGCAAAACTCCCACTAGCTTCACTGAAGGTAGGATTTCATCCCAGATTCATAACATTTTTGATGCACAATTTGTATTGGTTATTTGTCAAATTCATTCAGAAATAGTTTGTGACAATTTTTCTAAGTGGAATGCTTGTGTTTATTAGTCAGTGTAATTTTTTCCACTACATACAAGTACCTATTCCCTGCTATTCACCGAGGGGGTGTACAAGCCAAAGGAAACAGTATCAGGTGAAAAAGTGAGTATTTTCCACAGCCAACTCTGCATCATGTATGTGTTATGCGCAGTATATGATCCTATCACGTTTATCATTTGTATACTAACTTTCTGGATGCGTTGCTATTTTAAAATTCTTGTGTCTTTAATGCCTCTATACAAACCTTTTGTTCACATCATTCATTCAGAATACACTTGAACCTCTTTAATTCAGCAACCTTGGGAAATAGGCTATGATGGATTATGGAATTTTACAAACCATGGGTGTTCACCATAATGAAGGGTAAACAAAGTCCATTACTAAAGCTTTTGTATGTACAAAACCATTATACAATATTGTACCTCTGTTTCCCCAGTCTGATGCTCTCCTCCTTTGCTCTCACATGCTTTTGCTAAACATTACTAGTGACTGTTGCTGAGTGTGAATTTGCCAGCACGCAGCTTGGCAGACAGAAAGCATTTTGGACAAAAGCAGATTAAATAAACATTGCAGAGTTTAAGTTTTGCACTAGCCTGGAAGCCAGCAGCCACCAGAATGTCCTCCTGGAGATGGAGCGCAAACAGGTTCTTTCTCCAGCCTCCTCTGGGCTTGCTCTCTCCCTGTTTATCACCTTATTAGTCCAGTGCCTAGAAGCTGGGACTCTTCTCTGCACAGTAGAAGGGGCAGCTCTGACAGTGGTTGTCTACACTGCAAATGAAGGTGTGAACAGGGTGGCTGGGCAGATCCATGCTAGCTTTGATCTAGGGAGCCCAGCTATGGCTGGCGGTGAAGGCATGGTGTCATGGACTAGCAAGTCAAGTATGTACTCAGGCTGCCCATACTTGGGGAGCTAGTGTGTGTGTGTGTGCTAGCCAGATAAATCAAGCATAGGTGTGCCTAGCCATGCTACAGTCATCCCTGCTGTTGTACAGTCAACGTCTTGTACAATCAACTCTGCTATTTCTGATGTGTGGTCCTCCCTTAGGGCTGTGCTAAGAACAGCTGACAAACCCCTCACTCCAAACAGCCCTGGGTCCGGAGCAGAGTTCAAAATTCAGCAGTGGAGCTGGGTTTGAATTCTGCAAACAGCTCCTCCCTGATCCTGACACAAACTAAACCCAGAATCCATCTTGTAAGTCATTTTGAGCCCCCAGTGTCTGTCTTCAAGCAATTCACATTGCACTTCCACCTGCAAGTAGGTCAGTGGGGTGTTAAACTTGCCTCCATTCAAGCTAGTCTGCTTTCAGTTTCGACTCACACTTTGCCTGGATTAGCAAGCGCCTATTTTCATTGCAGACTCTTTGTTTCTTTAAGGAGGTGGCTGACCTTACACAGATCCATATCACTCTACGGTTTTGTAGCTTCTGACAGGAGACAGGGTTTTGCCATTGATGAATTAATAAATCCATATGTTGCGGAGCTGTTGAAATGAATGGGGAGGATTTAGTTTTAATGAATAGCTGCAACTTCTCAAGGAAGCACAGCCTGCTTCCATGGCAACCATTTTTCTCCCTTTATGGACAATTGAATGTGTAATGAAATTAACCCTCTGGATGCTGGGGAAGGGAGGCATTTTCCCCACACCTCTGGAATGGTGTTAGACAGATCTGAATTGGCTTTTCTGAAGGACTTCTTTTTAAAATAGCATTTTATCTAGCAAAGCAGGATACATATTGAAAGGCTTGTAAGGTGGATCAGATGTTTAGCTGGCAGTCAAGAGACCTGGGGTCTGTTACTGGCGGAGCTGGATGTGGCCCCTGACTTGCCTGATTCCAGCTCTGAGGCTCAGGATCCCTCCTCCAGCATTGGCAAGCCTGTGCTGGTACTCCAGTCCCCCTGCTTCTCACTTTGTGTGTGGCTCCCTGATTGATTTTTCTGTGAGTCAGTGGCTCCCCACCCCTGCCCTAAACTATATCAAGTTTAAGAAGCCCCATGGCATTACCAAAAAAAAACCTATATTATTCTAACAGAAAGGACAATGAAAATAGAACTAACAAAGTTTTATATTTGCATGTATTTAATAATATTTTATTTTATTAAAATAAAAAATGCAGAGAGGCAGTCTTGCAAATACTGATCTGCTAGGCTCAGAGCTAGGTATCAGCCTGCACTTACCAAGGAGAAGGGGCAATGACTTCAACCATATCAGAACCCAGAGCTTTGCTCCAAAACACTGAGATCCAGACTGAAACACTACGGCTATAAAAACCCAGAGCAAAACCCTGGGTACGTCAGAGTTTTGAATCAGAGGGCTTTGCTGGTTGGAGCCAGCTCAGCACTAAATGCAGAGAAGTTTTCCTGTAACAACTGCTCATTCTCACTAATCTAGATATAACTCCTCAGCCAGCTGGAGCCAAGTTCAATATCATGTGTTTCCTGTCTGTTGATATAAGACGGAACCCACTTTAGATCCCACCCACTGGCCTGGGAAATTCACACACCACTCTGGGGTGCCTGTGAGAGACAATGTTTCCCCATGCCCACGCACAGCGCCTGAGTGTAGAAAAGAAATGTTTATTAAAAGGAGGAAGTAACTCAGTGTTAATTTGGGCAACCACTCCAAACAGGGTTCATAAACAGAAACCATGAGTAAATGGGTTGGATAGTGTCCTTTTCCTCTCAGGTTCTTAAATCCAGCAGCCCAAAAGTCCCTTTCACATGTCCAACCTTAATCTGCACCCCACTTGCAGTTGCTCTCCTTGGTCAGCGCTGATCCAAACTTCAGAGGCATCTGCAGAGTTCACCTCCCACCTGTGGGTGAGGGGCAGGTAAAGAGGCATCTTACTTGCTCTGCT